CTCTCTCTCTCTCTCTCTTACACACGCATACAGGCACACACACTCAACCCAATGGAAGCACACTCACCCAAACACACCGCGCGCGCACCCAACCCAAACACACTCACATACACACATATACACACATACAACATATATATTATAACATTTACAAACACAAACACATACACACATACACATACACACACACACACAAGCATTCAACCCAGCACACCCACCCAAACACACGCTCACACACACACACACACATACACACATACACACACACAAACACACACACACACACACCCAAAACACACACACTCACGCAAACAACACACACAACAAGGGATACTTTGTCGGTGAGCAAAACGAACCAGGATGTGCTTAAGACACACGCGATTTGACATACTAGACAGAGGGCGGCTTGTCTGTGCAGCACTTACTGGCAGTCACAACAGCAGCTGCAACAACAACAACAACAACAACAACAACAACAACAACAACAACAACAACAACTACTACTACTACTACTACTACTACTACTACTACTACTACTATTACTACTACTACTACAACGACAACAACGACAGCAACTAAATCTGCCGAAACAACAACATCGGTTGTTATTACGCAACAATAGCTTACTGAAGCAACATCATCAGATCATCAACAACAACAGCAGCAACAACAACAACAACAACAACAACAACAACAGGTGACTTATAAACAAACACAAACCCGGCTGTAGTTATTACACAACACAAAAGCAAGGCTTACTAAAACGACATCCACAACAACATCAGTAGAAACAACAACAAAAATAACATCATCAACAATAACAGCACCATCAATAACAACAATATCAGCGTCAAAATAACATCGTTAGAAGCACCATCAATAACAACAATAACAGCGTCAAAATAACATCGTTAGAAGCACCATCAATAACAACAATAACAGCGTCAAAATAACATCGTTAGAAACAAAAACAATAGCAAACAACAACAACAACAACAACAACGATAACAACAACAACAACAACAAAAAACAACACCAAAAACAACACCAGCAGCAGCAATAACACCGGCAACAACATCAGCAACAACAACTACAACAACCCGAAATAATGAGAACTCGCCGGTCGAAGGAGTGATTGTGAAATCACACGATGGTCCGATCTGATCCGATACAAATCTTCACGTCGATTGACTAACATTTTCACCATCGCACCAAAACGTCGAAGTAATACAACGTACATTTGAAATGTCAGAGGACATGATAATATATTTTATATTTAACCTCTTCACTGCTGAGTAGACATGTGTTCCGGCTTGTATTCTCATATTGTTTAATCTGGTTGACAAAAGAAGTTTTAGTTGGTATAGTTACCGTTTGTGGTTTATGCTTATTCTGAAACAATTCGCTGTGTTAAAATATTCCAAGAATTAACATTTTATCTTGTCGGTCCAGATGTTGATGGAGATTTTTCAGCAGTGAAGGGGTTAATAACAACAGTCGTTACATTTTTTTCACTCGTCAACGTCCTATACTTGTTAGAGAAACAATAGCGCAGTAGTCAATTTCAATAGTAGAAAAACCCACCCCCCTCCCCCAAGGGCAGTGCTGCTGACTGAAGTGTCTTTAGGCCATTTCCAAAGGGACTACATAGGGGGAACTGCTGCTTTTTCTTTCCTCATCCTTACTATCGTCATTTTTTCTCTACTTCTTTTGTTCGTCACTCTCTTGTGACCCGCTATTTCCGGGTTGCCTTTATAGTCGAAGCAGACTTTGTACTGTTGAGGCAAGAAAGATGAGCAGAGTAAGCCTGATTCCCCGTTTGAACTTCTCTGTTGACATCCACCCCTTGGCGCTCACATTATGACCTTATACAGTTGCGAGCTCCGTAAAACCTTAATAAAACTGAAAAGAAAAACCGATGTTGTTTTGGTGTGACAATGGCGCAATAACCGGGTTTCAATAGTAGAAAAATCGAAGTTGTTTTGGTGCGAGCTTTAGGCTTACCCAGGAGTGGCAGATGATGTGGTGTTTTGTGAAGTCTGAATGGGAGGGACCCTCGCTATAAATTTATAATCGAAATAACAATTCGTGACACGAAAAAATGCAGTCTTTGTGACTTTTGGCTAGTGATTCAGGTCTTGATTATCTTTATCATGCTCTTTGGAAGGAAGTATGGGCCGCTCCCTTAATAAAAAAAACGAACTAGGAAGAGAAATAAAGGCTGTTTCCGTGACTCTTGAATAGAGTCATAATTCATACACAGGCTTTGATGAACTGGAACAGCTTCCTCTTTTAGTTTTCTTAAGAGTTTTACGGTACTTGCAAACGCAATAAGGTCATATAAGAAGGTTAGAGGTGTTACAAGACAGTAACAAACAAACAAAACAAAACCAAAAAAAAAAAAAGAAGAAGGAGGAGAGATAAGGACGATAGATGTTTGATAGGAATTAAAAAGTAGCAGATAAATGAATAGAAGGCAAAAGAGACGTGGACAACTTAGAGTAAACCGTTCTAACATCTGAAGAGCACCTGGACAGATGGGGGACGG